CGATCAGCTAGCGAGAGAGCTGCTCCAAACTCCTCTCTGACGCCGCTGACAAACGACGAACCCACCTGCAAGCAATCGCCGCCGCCGATCCGAGCCTACTTTGCCGCCTAATCACAAAACTGCTTTCCACAAACTTCCTAAGCCGCTGTATGGCGATGTCGAGCGTAGCCTCCGTCATGTTTGCAAAACAAACCCTAAACCAACCAGGTTCGGCACAATGACAAGATGAACCGGGCGATATGTTTAGCCCAACATCGTAAACTATCTTCTTCCAAAGCTCCATTTCACCATCAAAACTATTTTTTGTAAGCAAATGACGCATATCAACCCAACAGAACAACCCTGCATTACTCTCCAAACACTCTATACCATTCATTCGAAGACCATTGACTAGCATGTTATGTCTCTCCCTAAGCCTCTTCTTATTCTCCACAATGTAGTTTCTTGTAAACTCTTTATCTCCGAGCATCGTGGCAAGAAGGTGCTGAGTCTGCGAAGAAACGAGGCCAAAGCTCGACATCTTGGTGGCAGCTTGGAGGACCAGATCGTTGTCGGAGTAAATGGCGCCGACGCGAAATCCCGGGAGGCCGAGATCTTTGGATAAGCTGTAAACGATATGAACTTGGTTGGAGAGATGGGGGCGTTTGACGAGCACTTGTTTGATGCTGATGAAGTCTGCAGGAGCGATGAAATTAGTGCCGCAGTAAATTTCGTCGCAGATAAGATGAAGGTTGTTAGCTTCAATAAAGTCGACAAGGGTGTGGAGCTCAATGGAAGTCATGGTTGTGCCGAGAGGGTTGGATGGGTTGGTGATGACTATTCCCTTGACTTGAAGTTTGAGTTTGGTGGCTCGGCGGTAGGCGTTGTCGAGAGCTGTTTTGGAGAGGCGGAAGGAATTGGTGCTGGAGCAGCGGATTGGGATTATTTGGGCTCCAGTTCGCCATTTGAGGTCACGGTCGAAGCCTGGATAGTATGGAGTGGGGAGGAGGAATGCGTCGCCGGGGTTGGCGAGGCAGAAGACCAGGGTTTCGTTTGCGGAGGTGGCGCCGGCGGTGAGGACCAGTTTGTTTGGATTGAAGCTCACTTTGTTCCCCCTCAATTCGCTCATAAACTCAGCTAGTGCCTGCATCCATTAGTATGTAAGAGCATGCACTTAGAACGCTTCATCACTAGCTACCTATTTTTCATTTTTTTAACTATATATCGTAGAAATAATATAAATTATGATGCATAAATATAAAAGATTTATTAATTCATTTTTTCTGAGTTCTTCGATTCTGTAAAAAAGCGAGGATGGACGTACAAGTTTGAAAGCTGGTAAACCATGGTAGTCCTGGAAAAGAGCCAGTTCCCGGAAGAGTGACGAACTGCCGTTGCTAATCTTGAAGTCAGTTGCGTGAGGGTGGGAAGCCAGCCACGTCTCCAGAAGATCGAAGGAGAGCTACGTACATGGAGCAAAATAAATTTAGTTTAATGTATTTTATAAAAATCTAGAGAGAAAGAGTTATTTAGATATATATATATACATATGAATTTATGTATATACCTGATTCTCGGCCAGTCCCATCTGAATGATCCCGGAGGGGTTGGTGATAGGGTGATAAGGGTTTCTCTGGTACTCTTGCCAGCCCAGGAAGTAGCTGGAGTCTTGGCCATCCAAACCGCACGTGACCTTTCTCGACAGGAGCTTAGTAGGGTTCATGGTTTGAGTTTGGAGAGAATATATACGATATTTATATCCAAAAGTGTGAGAAAGAGATGTGAGAATGATACAACGCTTTGAGAAGAAAACTATGAAGAGTTGAAGGCGATGGAGGATGTTAAGGAATGAGAGAGGAGAGAAGCCCTGTTTGAGATGCCTGTGGAGTTTGTTAATCGGAAGAACTATTGGGAGCTATATATAGAGATTTTGAAGTTATGAAATTCACTGTGATCTTTTTTTTATTTCTTTTTTGTTGAGCCATACAAATGGTGATGAGTATTAAGAGAGAGAGAGAGAGAGGCTGCCTGCGCAGAAAGTGTATTTTGCCAACTAGTTACGAAAGCAAGCAAAAGAAATGGGTATTTAAGCGCAGGAAGAAGCTGCCGACAGAAAATGAAGAAAAGCCGAGCTCCATCTTTTTGAAGACTAACCTACATGTAACTGGATTCGACACCGCATTCCCTTTTCGTGCAACTACTCACCGCCCTGCCCTGTCTTTCCAACACAATCCCCCATAATTAACATCGCCAACATTTTTCTTTTTTCTTTTTTTCTTACTATGTTTATATATGTTTGAACAAATTTGATTGTAACCTTGGCTTCTTAGATCACATACTCACCAATTTATGGATGCAGCTAAAGCGACCTCATTCATAGAACCGGAACCTAATTAAAGTGAGCTGACGAAATAAAAAAAAAATCAAGAGATGGGTGATATCTATGTTTAAAAAACTTTCACTTTCTTATTATTTTTTAAAAATTATTGTTATTTTAAAAAATATAATTAGTATTAAATTATTATTAAGTATTTTAATGTTTGGGAACCAGATTCTTAATCATATATTATACGACACTAAAAAGTTTATTAAGAATTTAGTGGCAGCGAATGACCCCCTCAGCTCTCCCCTGATCCCAATACTGCACCTAACCACAACAGTAAGGTGGGCTACATAGAACTCTATTTTCAAAATTTTACAAGTAAAGCTATATCAAAATTCAATGAGATTGTTAATATTGTCTAATGATTCTTGAACGATCTATACTGAAATGTATTCTTGCACTAACTATCTTTTATAAAGTAATCATTTGACATTTTATATACAACAAATTGTGTATTTCAAATATTCACAGCAGGCATGTGGAATAAGGTCAAATTGCACAATACTTTTTGTTTTAAAAAAAAATTTAATTTATGTGATGAATAAAATTTTTTCATCATGAGAAAAAAAAACTAAATTAATATATTTGGGTCTCTAGGCCGCCCAAAATCATTTTGTGACATGAACACCATTAAATTTAATTAACATTTTGAAAGGTGTTCTAAACAAATGATTGATAGCACTTAAAAAATGTTGAAGGCAATAAACTTCACTGATATCATATGAGTTTATGATCATTTTCCTTGATTAGGAACATGATCCAATCACTCATAGTTGAACAAATATACATTGTGTTGTGATATATAACAGTTGTTGTTGTATATATATAAAAATAAGATAGGAAAACAATCGAAAACGAAACGAAAAATAGAACGAGAAAATTCACATCAGAAAACACTAACACAGCGGAACACACAGATTTACGTGGTTCGACAAATTGTCTATGTCCATAGAGTTGAAAAAGATTTTACTACTTGAGGAATTTACACCAGTCGATCGTCTCGACTTACGAGAGGGATCTCTCGATTCCTTGCTCTCTCTTCTTCTCTCTCTACACCGAGATACACCGAAAAAGATAAACTTACAAGAGAAATAAACCCAATTTTTCTTCAGCCACAAACCACAAAGAAGAAGCCAAAGGAGAACAATATTCTTCTTCTTATTTTTTCTTTCCTCTGCCGCAAGAAACTACTGTTTGCACTTCTCTTTCTCAATCTCGAGGAAACCCGAAAAAGGACACTAAAAAGGTCGTGTACTAAACTAAATCATAAGGAGAGCCGCTCCTTTTATCGCAAAACAGCAGGGAGCGAAGCGATGCTTCGTTTCGTGGCAGAGGAAGTCGGGAGCGGTTGGTGCTGTTCGCGAATCGACGTCAGGCGGGGATGAAAGTTGGGGTCGCGACCTCTCAGGATCAGTAGCGGGGTCGCAATGTTTCGCCATCAGGAGTGGGAACTGGAGGACAAGATTGAGAACAAGTCTCCACATTTAACAAATCTTCCACTTGAAGATCGATACACATGCTACAACATCTCCTTCCTCAAACTGATCCCCTCCAGTGGCAGCGTCGCCCTTTTCTTCAAACATGAATCATCCTCTTCTGCAACTCAAAGCCCTTGTCTTCACACCAGAAGACCAACTGAAGTTATGCAACTAC